AAAAGTTCCATTCAATTGAATGTTAAAACAAAAGTAGATTATTTTCCAGGTGGATAAGGTAGGGGACAGGGGAGTTATTTCAGGAAGAGAAAGCCACACATAAAAAAAGCACTCCAAAATGACAGTTTGGCTTATTCTATTTAAAGAATGGTAGCGAATGAGGCAAAAGGTACAGTGGAAGAGAAAGACATTTTTTATCTCATGAACTTCAAAATTTGATATCTGAGTCCAATGTGCTTCATAATCTGGTTTCACGTTTTCCATCCAACCTGAATTTATTCACCCAGTAGGTGGTAAACAAATATTTACTTAATGAATACACAAATGAATAAGCTTTCCTAAGTTTCTATATGCAAGGAACTTTACCAAAGGAACTTTTTATGGAGAATAAAAACAAACAGGTATAACTACAAAAAAGTATATATCGTAACAAAAGCAGTCAAGTCCTTGTAGTTAAATAAGAAATATGACAATTAATTGTAAATCAAGATAGAAATTGATGTAGAGAATCTTCAGAATTTAAGAANGTAACTGCATCTCATCCTTGAGGCTATAGCTTAAAGTTTACTTTCTCCGGGAAGGGTCCCTGATTATCTTCCTACCCTTCCTCCTTGCAGGGTAGGTTAGGTATCTGGTGACTCATTCTCACAATACCTGTACTTTTTATGAGTAGAACTTATGGTAGCAGTAATCAAATACTTACTTGTATCATAGCTAACTCTCCTGATAGCAGAGATCACATTTGTCTTACTTACTTTTGCATCTCTGTTATTTATCACTGTGTTTGGCACATAAGGAGTGCAAACATATTTTTGACTTTATAGATGAAAGAATCAGTGGCACAATTTGTGATTGTATTAGCTATTAACAGCATCTGATTCTTTAGGATGGAGAACGGGCAATGGTGATAGGGTTGGCCTAATAGATCTGGATAGTCTGCTTCCAAGCAAATAGTTTATATTCAACTTCAAACCTTTGGCTATAGATTCTTACATCTTTCGTTTCTCTCTAAAATGGCTTTTCTTTTGTCCCAGGATTTTTGCCACCTTGGCTTACCATACCTGCTCTGATCTCTTTAAATCTGCTTTGATCCTTGACATATATCACCCTGGCCTCTTTCACTTGCATTGTGTAACCTGTTCTGACCTTGTGTTCAAACTCATCTTCACTGAAGTGAGAAAATTTTGTCTTTGCCATGATCCTACTTAAGTAATGTCCCTCCGGAACTTATTTTTGTCCCAGATTCCCACCTACGTCTCAGCCTATGATAGAACACTCATCAACCATTATTAGTTCTAGTTAATTGCAGCTTGGTTTCTTCATTCTGTATTGTGGGAGAAGCTCACCTCAGCATCACAAGATTTTTCTTTGCTGGTTGGTCCCTGATGCTCTAGTGCAGTGCTCTTCAAACTCTACACGACATGAAGCAATTGGAAACTGCCTTCAAAACACATATTCCTAGGCCCCACTCCAGAAAA